TTTCATTGCAAAGGGCTATGGTCACCAAGTATCCTTCCCTTGTTAGTTTGTGGAGACCCTCTACATCGCTGCATCAAGAGGCCCGGTTTTCTCTGCCTAAGGAATGTGAGTGTAATGCAGATTATAGTTATGGAAGTGCATATTTACGTAATGATATTTTTATTTAACGAAGGAGAATTGGCATAGCAAAGTCAACTAACCTTGTGAGTCCCAACTCTTTAGCTAGGATGCCCAGTTCTCTCCATAACATTTGCCCGTAACCTTTTCGTCGAAATGCTGGTCGTACATACAAGTCTTCCATATGAATGTATTGTCCTTCCCAAGTCGAGTAGGCAAAGTAAAACAACAGCATCGCTGCTGGTTCATCGTCTTCTCGCAATATAAAGCCACCTACTGAGTTCTTGTCTATATCGGCAGCTAAGCGAGTATCGTCTATCTAAAAGCGGTCTATCGTGATGACATACTGAAATAAGTAAGGATAGCAACCAACGTTGACCGCTGTCAGCATTTTCTCAAACTCTGCCAGCTCCCTGATCATAGACATTAAAGTCGATGCATCAGCAGATGTGGCCCTGCTGATAGAGACTGCCATGCCCTAAAAGTTAGGTACGTACTGTATCAATGCGAAAAAGCAGAGCGTGGCGTATTCTTACGAAGGGTGCGTTTTGAAACACGGATGGTTTAGTATACTTTGAAACGATAAATAAGAAAGTGACATGTGTGAGCCATCTTTATTCATTAATGTCGTGTGTGTGTGCAAATAGCTTTCTTTGGTATTGAAGGCACCCCTCCTTCCAAATCAAGGGCTGAATCTTGTTGCTGCATGATGTCAGAACGGATTCGATAAGCTGCACAAATCGTAAAACCACAAGGACTCGGTGTGTCATCATAAAAACCCGTACTGCATAAGGCACACCTCCTCAAAATGATATTTCCAATAGATAATTTCAAAAATAAACATTTAACGGCACTGTGAAGCCGATCTTGTCTTTAACAAACTTTATTTCCACGATTCATGTCGCACTTTCAAAGTATTATAGACCATTGATCTGAAGTGGAAACTGTTTTTAGTTGACGTGCTTTCCTCCAAAAAAACAGCCATACCGTTTTGAAGAGCATTGAACGCTTTTCTTTAACTGTTAGCAATTTGTAGAGCGAAAAATGCAAGCAGAGTTCAGCAAAACAATTGTTACCGCCCTAGCGCTCCATTTGAGAGCGTACGATTATGCTAGACAAAAGACATCACTGCATGATAGCTCTAACGTGCTAGAATAGGCATTCGAGCAGTCCCAAACGATTCTGATTCAGCCGCGCTCTCGTAATCCAAAAAAGCTCATGACTCGCCGTCCAAAGGCGCTTGGCAGACAAAGACGGCAGTGGCGGTCCCATGATTTCCGTACGAGGGAAGGGGGGGGAGC